CATTTCATCCTGGTGGCCATTGATTACTTTACCAAGTGGGTCGAAGCAGCTTCCTTCGCCTCCGTTATAAAGAATGTGGTTGCCCGCTTCATCAAGCAGAACCTCATTTGCCGGTATGGTATCCCCGACAGGATCATCACTGATAACGATACAAATTTGAACAATACCATGATTACCGCCTTGTGCAAGCAGTTCCAGATTCAACATCATAATTCATCTCCCTATCGGCCTAAGATGAACGGTGTTGTCAAAGTCGTGAACAAAAACATTAAGAAGATCATTCAAAAGATGACAGTCACCTACAAAGACTGGCATGAGATGTTACTGTTTGCTCTACACGGGTACCATACCACGGCACAAACATCAACTGGGGCAACACCCTATTCTTTGGTGTACGACATGGAAGCTGTTTTACCTATCGAGGTTCAGATTCCCTCCTTGAGAATCATGAAAGATGCTGGTTTGAGTGAAGACGATTGGATTCAGACCCGGCTTGATCAACTTAACTTGATTGATGAAAAGCGACTTACTGATATTTGCCATGGTCAGGCGTATCCGAAACGGATGATCAAGGCATTCAATAAGAAAGTCAGGCGCCAGGTATATCAAGTCGGGGATCTTGTAATCAAGCGGATCATCTTGCCGCAAAGTGATCCCAGGGGCAAATGCACTCCTACTTACGAAGGGCCATTTATGATCAAAAACATCTTTTCTGGTGGGGCAATGATATTAACCACCATGGACGGTGATGATTTGCCACACCCTGCGAACGCAGACATAGTCAAAAGATACTATGCATAAACGACCCGATGTTTCCAGTGATTTCTGGTAAACAACCGCTAGTCTTCCAAACTATCGAATAAACTTACTGACTGTTATTCAATTTCTCTGGTAACTCGCGGGATCGACTAGATTGATCCTAGGACTTGTTGGTCATTAGGGTAACTCTCATGATTGAACAGATATTCATGGTTGGTATTTAGAGTGTTGTGTAGGTGTTTGACTTATTTCGATTTCTCTCTTTAAAGATCTAAAGGTGTAATCAAAATATATGTACGCGAAAACTAAATTGCATGAATAAATGTTAATTGTAAAGACATATAAAATTCATAAAAGACAAGTAAATGGCTTCGAATTATAAAAACAGTTAATGTAAAAGATGTTCTGGAACGTAAAAGATTCGAAATACGAAGAAAGCGTTTAATGCAAGAAATCTGTAAAATGACTTTAAGTAAAAATAGGCGTTCGAAAGATAAAACTTGAAGATAAAGGCATGAAAAGTATGACAGTTTTCTGAAATGTAAAGTGTTTGAAATGTAAAGAAAGCATTAAAATGTAAGGCTTCAATGAAAAGATTCCGAATAAAAAGACTTTAAATGAGAAAACTTGTAAATGGTATTTGGCAGAAAGATAAAGGAAAGTACTGGAAATGATAAAAGGGTTTTCATTAAATCATAAAAATGTGGTGCTATCATACATACATTGCTCTTGTATTCGTTTCCCTAGCCATGTGGTAATTTGAATGTTTACTGAGTATTTAGTACAATAGATATGACACACGAAATCCTAATACTAAGACTTCTATTTATACTACTTCGACCATAACGGTCTTGCTATAAGATTATGCCACGTTCAGAACATGCAGAACAATGCCTCTCTCTTGTTTCCACGTGTCTCCAAATGCTCCAGCACATAAATTTCAAACTTCGAATGTCCCGCTTGCATTTGAATTTCAAATGTTTTGGTACTTCTCCGCTTCGAACGCACTTCTCAGACACAGCCTTGTTGTCATTTCGAGACTTCTTTAGATATGTTCCCATAATTGCCACTCGAAGCTCCAAGCTTTGATATGCTCATTCGAAACACTGCTTCTGCTATTTCGAAACATGACGCTTTGTTTCATTTCGATCGAAACATTCAATTCACTTGGCTTATAATAATATTATCAAAATCTTCAGCCAACAAAATGCCCCTTTAAAATATGTATTTCGATCTCTCTGAGAAATACTTATTTTAAACATCTACACAAGATTTTGATGCGACCTTCGAATCATCGTAACATTTAATGCATTTGACTCCAGTCACGTCAATCATAACACTTTCTGGATTCCTTAACCGCCTGGAGCCACTTCACAGTATGGTGCAGTTACAAAACAATGATTATCTTTAATCACGCCTATTACCCATGTTAACTTTACGCCACCTCTTCATCAAACCAACCCATGATTTCCATGTATCACAACCTTATTCAGTGGATGCTTAAACTTCCACGTTATAAAACATCATCAACTTAGTCTTTTTATTTTCTTTCCACATTCTGAATCTTTTATCCTTCTTCTCTCGCCAAAAAACCCTAAGCTTTCAACATTCTTCAAAAATGTCTTCTTCCACTTCATCCCAACTAAAAAAGGTTTCCAAGAAGAAAGGAAAGACCGCAGGAACTATCATGGAAAGTAAAGTTATTACTCACCAAGGTCAATCTGTTCTTGCTCCCCAGATGATCTCAAAGGAGAAAGAAATGCTTTATGCATCATAGGTACTCATTCCTACCACCGCTGCTGGTAAGAGGTTAGCTTTAATGGGCCCTCTTACGGTTTTTGAAATTTTAAAAGATACCAGGACAATTTTCCCAGTTTGCTATAGTTTCAAACCCTTGTTTAACAAAATGGACGCCCCTAAGGCAATAGAATCTTCTGGCTCAAACACCATGGAAAATCCAAATGTTCCTCCTAAGGACCCTTTTGTATTAGACTATGTAAAAAGTAATTTTAAACCGTTTCGATCTTGCCCCACCTCCGACACTGCTTATCAAAACTGGTTCAATAAGGTAGAAGCTAAGAAATCCCAGCAATGGGAAGAATTAGGTATCTACAACTTGATTAAGCTGTCGAAGCCTGGTTTCACTTACATCCACCCTTTGTTATTCGCGTCCCTCTATTTCTGGGACAGTACCTATAATACTTTCCATCTCCCTGGTGGAATGATCACCCCTACCTTCTTTGACATAGCGGCCATCACTGGGCTATCACCAGTAGGAGAAACATATATCCCTGACAACGAAGAACATTCAAGTATAATCGACTTCGAAGTCAAACTAGCAAGTTTTTCCAAGTTTATCAGTCATTACCATGCTGAAGGAGACAGTGTGTCTGATGTAGAACACATTGCTTTCCTTACCCTATAGCTGTCAAGATACGTCTTCTGCAGTAGATCCCTACAGGTAGCCAGTAGGTTTATTCCTCTAGCTAGGGATTTGCACGAGAATCGAAGAGTGTGCTTAAGTGAACTGCTCTTAGTTGACCTTTATGAAAGCCTAAGGTCAGCTGTTTCGAGCCTAAAATCTCATACCTCCAAGAATATCCTGTTGGCTGGCCCTTTTTGGTTACTTCAGCTATGGCTAAATGCCATGTTCGAACCCTCCTTGTCAACTGCCAACACCATTGATGAACAAGACCCTGAGATAACTGATAGAATAGTCGAAGGCACTAGGCTGCGAAGATTAACTCCAAATGACGACAAAGACGACTTCAAAGTCCTATTCTCGAAGTACATCATGATATTCTCCAAAAGGCATAAGTTCGAAGAGACCATGGCGCCTTTTGCTTCGAGGGCTCATGGACTTTCCTGGTTCACCATGGCTCTCTCAGAAGCTGTCAAGAGCAAGGAGATTCAGGATGTATGGAGAGCCTTTTTGCTACCTAGACTCATTTCTTCAAGAATAACTCCTACCAAGAATCAGATTTTCCTTTTCGCTTACCAGCCAAATTTTGTTTCGAGACAGTTTGGCTTATGCCAACTAATTCCTGAACCCTTATTTCAAACTGAGAGTGCCATTACCTCTGGGCGAACTTTCAAGGCACGGGAAGCCAAATTACAGCAAGAACAATACCAAGGCTTTGCCCAGTTTGAGCTAATAACCTTCGAACCTACCCATCTCACAGCTAAGGGGTTTCTGGAATGGTGGACCAAGTTTTATCAAACTTATATGTTCGATACTCTTACAATTCAGCAGAAACTAATTGATGCCTTGGATGTGCAGGTACCAGCCAAGAAAGGTATGTTTACTCATGCCAAAGAGATTAAAGCTTTTCAAAATTATTTTGAAACTACTTATGATCCCACGCGCTTGGAATCCACTGTGCATTAAGCGGCTGAGACCTTGAAGGAAAAATTCAAACAAAAAGTTTCTAAGTTAAAACTTCCTTCAGGGTTGTCACCTGAGGATAGGTATAGGTTGGCATTCGAAATGCATCCACCTAAATTCCCTAGATTACCTACCTCAGAACTGGCTCTGGCTTGGTTTCCCCCATACCCTTGGTGGTTCACTTGCAAAGAGATGTTCAAACATCTTCAAAAGAAACCAAAGCCATCTGAGACTGTGACATGGGCTCGACACTGGCTCCACGATTTCCCAGGACACCTTCGATACGACCTTTCTGCCATGTCGATTAAATCTGATCAAGGCACAGGTGCGAATGCTTGGGAAAATCCCAAACGTTTTTCATTTTCCATATCTTTAACCTTTGCTTTAATTGTTTCGATTTTCAGCCATCAGGATAAAGACAACCGCTTCAAAGTCGAAAGAAGGGAGCGCCTCTCTAGCCTCTATCGAAACCACTAACAAAGTGACTCTATCCGAAACAACAACCATTGCTGCAACAACAACAACAACAACAATACCAACAACAACCAGTGTTCCAACTCCAATGGTAATCACTTAGCCTTGATGTTTCGAATTCACTCATGTTTTATGGTTTGCATCTAACTCTTTGTTTAAATCTTTTCAGACCAACAAACTTCCTCCTACTACTCCCAAGAAGCGAAAATCAAACACCACTGGGGAAGACCCCAAGGCTGGAGGAAACTTACCAACTGATTCGAAGAAGAAGCAGAAGAAGGATATTTCGAAAAGTACCATTCCAACTAGTGTCTCTGGACTTGATTCCAGGGATGCTGCTCCCTCACCCAAATCCAAAATTCCACCTTCGACCTCCAACGTAATGTTGGAACGCATAGCTAGTAACCTCTCCTCCGAGAGTCCACAGGTAAATTGAACTTTAAATCTCTTTGAAAATAATAATTTCTTATCACCTTGGTACATGTTTTTAACATTCTTTTGCTCCTTGCAAAACATCTTGAATCCAGCTTCCACTATGAAACAACCGGCTGAAAATCATCAAAACAATGAAGTCGCCATCGAACGTCTTTTATCCCACATGTAGGGAAAGTTAAACATCGAGAAAACCTGATGAGGGAGAAGTCACGGTCTTGCGACCGAGAGATAAGGGTAAGGGAGTCTGTTACGCGAGGGGAAGGTATTAGCACCCCACACACCCGTAGTACTCTACGGTATCCATTCTTGTTGTCTATCTTATGGGTGTGTTCAATCTACGCTTACTGTTTATTATACTACTGAAGGGAACGCATGCAAAAGAAAGGGGAAAAGAATGTAGGGAAAATAAAATTGTGCTCGCCTGGGCCCTACCCCAATGCCTACGTATCCTTTTTGAGGAATCAGAGCAGCCGTAGTTCGGCTTATATGTTTTTGTTTGTTTGTATTTTCTTTAACGAACAGTATTAATCTCGCCTTCTGCCGCAACTCGACCTTTGGAGATTTACGCGTCAGCACAGAAGTGAATTAATACACTCTTTTGAAAAGGGTTTGAAAGAAAGGCCCGAGGGCAAAAAGATTTTTATGTTTGTTGGTGTTTTTGCTTGTAGATAATAGCTAGTTAACCTCAAGGGAGAGATTTTAGCCATTTCTCTACTTATTCATGAAATGAATCTTTGAGACTTAAATCATACCAAAGCTTAGAATAAGAGAATAATAATGTCGAGAAGAAACCCGCTCATCATCTCTCAAACTTAGCCAAGACATGGTTTTTGTCAGTAAATTTTTATGTATTTTTGAAGTTTGTAAAAAGAAAGTTTTTTGTTTTAACTGCATATGCAAAGGAGGAAAGAAAGTCACAGGAAGACAAAGTCACAGGAAGACGAAGTCACAGGAAGACGAAGTCACAAGAAGACGAAAGTCACAGGAAGACGAAAGTCACAGGAAGACGAAAGTCACAGGAAGACGAAAGTCACAGGAAGACGAAAGTCACAGGAAGACGAAAGTCACAGGAAGACGAAGGTCACAGGAAGACGGAGGTCACAGGAAGACGAAAGTCACAGGAAGACGAAAGTCACAGGAAGATGAAAGTCACAGGAAGACGAAAGTCACAGGAAGACGAAAGTCACAGGAAGACGAAAGTCACAGGAAGACGAAAGTCACAGGAAGACGAAAGTCACAGGAAGACGAAAGTCACAGAAAGACGAAGTCACAGGAAGACGAAGTCACTGGAAGACAAAGTCACAGGAAGACGAAAGTCACAGGAAGACGAAAGTCACAGGAAGACTAGCCTATTTCTAAATCTAATGTTATCGTGTATTAGACCTAAAGTTAGAATCTCGAGGGAATTCTACCTAGAAAGTAGTAAAGTGCCGGAGTAAAAATAGAGTTGTGACGATACCGAACGGAGAAGGTCCGTTGCCTCTTCAAAATTGTGCAAGCGGTAAAAAAATTCTATCAAAGTTCCCTTGGGCAAGTGATTGAAGAGTTCACCCCGAGCATTCCACATTGCAAGAGTTATGTCGATGCTACAAAAAGTCTTGACTAGAAAATGGCAATAAAAATGATTATCGAATATGAAAAATAAAATAGAAAAAATTCTAATCGAAATTCTAAAAAGAAATTCTATTCTAAAATATTCTATTATTTTTATTGTCAATTGAGAGGAAAAAATTAAACTAAAAGAAAAAAACTAAAATAATAAAAGAAAAGAAAAAATTAGAAGAGTTAGGGGGTATGAAGTCTAGAAATATGGGTGCTGAAGTAATTTGCCCAAAAAGATTTTCAACATTTTATTTATTATTTAATTAGTTATAATTATTATCAATTTGAATTAAAAATAATAAAACAATAAGATAATCAAAACTAAAAAAGAAAAAATAGGAAAATTGAAAAGGGTTTAGGGTGAAATTGTCGGCGGCGGAGGTCCTTCGAAACAAACTCCATTCTTCTCTCTTCTCTTACGCCGATCGATTCTGATGTTTCCCCACCGTAGACAAAGGTGTCCCAACCTTAATTCCTCAAATCTTTCTTCGCTTCAATGTTAGGCCAGTGGACGAGGTGAAGGATTCCCCAGTTCTAATGGTGGTATCAATAGGTAGAAGAAGAAATATATGCTATAGACGAAGTATTGATTGGAAAGTTCAGAGGGTTTACCGATCGGAGTCCGTCCGATGCGGCTTTAATGGCGGCGATGATGAGATAAAACCAGCGGGAGCTTCCGAATTCCAGTATGCTTCCTATCTGATTCTTGTTATTACTCTTTGTTCTTCTTCTTCTTCTTCCAGTTCTTCTTTCTGTTTCCTTAAGCGGTGTAAGCCGAGGAAAAAACTCTGAATTGAACATTTTGAAGGTTGGCGAAGATGCATTGTTGAAGTAAATTAAAGTGAGGTTGGAGGATACAATTCATTTATGAAGAATGTTGATGTCGATGAAGATCATATGGTGAAAATGGCAAAAACTGTGTGTTGTCGTGATGAACACATGGCTTGAAAATTTATGACAGAGGTTACGCAGTGATGAAGGGTTTGGAGATGGTTTGAAGCTGTTCGTGCTTGAAGGTGATGGAGTCTTGTTGAAGGTGAATGAGGATGTGAAGTGGCTGCAATTGTTGGTGAAGAAAGATGATTGAAGAATGAAAGTTGAAGATGAAGATGATGAAGGATGCTAATGAAGATCGAAAGAGAGAAGTGAGAGAATTCTCAAATATTTGTTTTGGTGGTGATGGAGAAGGAAGCAGAGAGAAGAGGGTGAAATTTTTGGTGATTCTCCCGTGAACTTGAAGAATAAGATGATTGAGAGGTAATCTTTTTTTCTGTGTTGAATATCCTCTCTATTCTGTCCATCCCCCCTTTATGTATATATGCTGGAAGTTTGTTTTTATAGTTAGGAGGTTAGAAATTCTGTTAGGTGGTTAGGAGGTGGGAAAAAAATTGGTTATAGTTAGAAGTTAGGGAGAAGTTAGAAGTTTGTTATGAATTGGTTACTGAATGTTAGGTATGCTGTAACTGTTTTTGGGTTAGTTAAGTTGGTTAATTGAGATATGGTTTTGGATAGGAAGTTATGGTTAGAAAATTCTGTTAGGGAATTTAGTTGAGGAATAGGTTGTAAGAAAGCTGGAAATTTGTTGTTTAGAAATTCTACTTTGGAAGTTGGTTAAGAAACGGTTAGGAATCTGTGAATTAGAAAGGTTGGTTGAAATTGTGTTAGTTATAAGTTAGAAGTCCTGTTTGGAATCGGTTGGAGTTAGAGGAGTTAGGCTGTTAGAGGAAGTTGTGTTAGTTTTGGAATGAAGAGTAGCTAGGATACTGTTTAGTTATTTGTAGTGAATCAACAGAGTTCTCACGTATGATTTTTGACGGAAAGTAAGGAGAAGAGACATCAGTAACTGCAACATCCTTCACAGAACTGTTATTCTTGTTTGACTGGCTTTCATTCATTCCAGTAGTTCTCAAATTAAATATTAGACGGATGTCAACCTCCAGTGCAATTTCTTGGATACCACCAGATTCATTTTCAAGTGCCAAAACGAGAGTAAAGTGAGACAGAGATATGTCAAATGCATCTGGAAATCCACTTTCAGCTTGTTGAGATGTGCCAACAGTCCCTTGATCAATCTCAATATCAAGATTATAGCTCTCCAATTTGATTTCCATAAAGTTCCTTTATAAGTTTGACTTGTTCCCGTCTATCCACGTATGCCTGCAATAGATCTTCAACATGATCTATGAATTTCATAGCATTGGATGAAAGGAGATCTTTTTCTATTTCGTGTATAGGCAAGAAATATGGAAGTGTGTGCTCAAGGACAGTCATCTTTTCAAGAAATGACTTGCTCTCCAGTACACAGTGGTAAAAATCACAAGGTTCACCAGCAAAAGATGTCTCATATTGTATGCCAATTCTCGCCCCTTCCAAACACCAAATTACCTTGTTTCCAGTTTTGTAAGTAATTTTTCCTGAGGGCTTGTTAATACGTTGAGCCTCCTTTAGCCTATCTCCTATGACCTCAGATTTATCAACCCTCTCACTTCCAGCCAAATCAACTAGGTGGATACATCCACGTAGACTATTTCCTGACGTAAGCTCTCTTCCTTGAACATGAACTGTCAAGCAGCCATGAGAATCGACTACTCTGATTTTTCATCGCAGTAGCACTAACTGCCGGATTTCTTTGTCCCAAGTTCATCAAATTTAAGACATCGGCGGTGGATGAAACAGGGACAAGGTTTGCATCTGGCACATTAATACCATTATGGGAGCTGTTGCGAATTTCTAATCTTTTGTTAGAATCATCGATCATTAGCAGGTGAAATAGCCAAAATTATACAGTTCGGCTTCTCAATGTAGGAGCGAACCATATTCTCAATGTCATGCACAATACTATCAGGTTGGCCCTCTACAGCTATCTTCGTAAGCCCAGGAAGATCAATGAGTGTCAAGTTAACAATATTGGGCGAATATATGCTAAGCTGAATAGGTACAGTTGAAATCTGTTTGCTCCGTCCAGTCTTTCTATCAGTTTCATCTTGATCAGATGATTCTGAACCATCTGAATCCACTCCATTATTATCTTCACCACTATCCAAAGTTTCTAGTTCTCCATCCTCCTCTACAGCATGGTCTATTGAATTTTGCCTAAAAAGATTGATAGAGCTACTCTCTAGATTTTCATTGATTGAGTATTTGGTATTCTGAAGTGATTTCACCAGAACCTCTGATTGTGGCTGCTCCAGCAATCGATTCACCAAAAAGTTGTATAATTGGAGATTTCTGGATGCTTACAATACGTACCAGTTCCCTTGAGGAAGCAATGTAGTATTTCTGCATCGATAAACAACCAATTTCCATTGGGACAACTAGGAGAAAAACTTGCCATGTAACCTGTGACATCACAACAACAATACCAATAAGCTGTATTATTGATGAAGCAAACCCTCCAAGTCTAAAAGGAATGTCAAGGTCCACAACAACTTTGATCAACTGAAACACAGTTCAGGATCCTTCCAGCTGGTGTAGAATCAAAGAAAGACATTGGAGCATGGAAGATACTTCTAAGCATGTTAAAAAAAATAGCTTCTGCGCTGCTGCTAGACCGAATGTAGCAACAAGAACGGCCCTTACGAATATGAAGCACGAGCTTCCAAAGGCAAGAGCCATGTAAACAAGAAGAAGATTCATGGGAGTTACTTTGGAATGGTAGCAGTAGAAGAATCAGAGTTTAGACATTTGTTAACTTCAATTGCAGAACTCTCACTCCTGCTTAAACTAGGAATAACTTCTGATTTTGAATGCTGCTCCATGTCTCTTTGCTTGTATGACTGTTTCTCCATTTCAATCTTCATTTGATTGTAGCAATTTTTGTGAGAGACGGAACATAATGCAGCCTCAGCCTCAAGCCATAGATTTTTATACAATAGAGTCTGAGACTCTGTTGCTTCATCATCATCAAAATTCTCACTAAGAATATTCTTTATAGCCTTAGTCATGTTCTCTTCCTTTGTCGTTTCTGCACCACCGCTTAGGGAAATGAAGCCTGAAGGCATCCAATGTGGCTTCTCAGATCTAAAACAGAGATCTGCTTTTTGAGCAAGCTGATTTTCAGGCCCATCCACGGAGTACTCTGGTGCTATCTTGGTTAATTAATGGTTTTTCATGTGTCGAGTAATTTGTATGAGCATAGGATATTTTGGCATGATTGCTTGTATTGACTTGGATTTTTTTGTATGAATGTGCAGGTCATGAACTGAAGATGAAGAACTTTGGCATGGCATGGAATTAGAAGTTTACTCATGGAATTTTAGTACCTTTAGGACTAAGGAATTTTGTTCAAGTGTATTTTGTAACCGTTTTCTTTTCTTTGTAGAATATTGGTGTAATGGGATTGTAATGATTTTATAATGAATGTTTGATTTGGATGAACTTGAAATTTATAGTGTGATTTATTAATGACTTTGAGCTTGAAATGTCGGGTGATGGATTTTTTTGGACGGAGTTTAAATGACAAAGTCTTGAAAAAATGCTTGAAGATATGAAAGCATCAAATTTTCTCGTGGGGTGTCGTTACAATTGAATGAAATTGAATGGAATTGGATAGTATTTTCTTGAATAAATGTTTGAACGCATTATGAACTTGAACCTGAAATAACGATGAAAGTCTTTGTAATGCGTATAAACTCCGACTTGAAACAAGACCTCGCAGTCTGTACTTTACCTTCCAAGAAACTCATATGACCAATACTTAACGCTCTTTGCCAACTTTAATCCAATCAAACACTTTCAAACATCTTGAACTCAAATCAAACTTCAAATCCAAATCACACTTGCATTCTCAATGAACTCCTAACTTCAATCTTGAAATTTTATCAATGAATAGAAACCCTGATTTTTAATGAATTTTTTCTTTTCTGAACCAATATTTCTTTTCCTTTACCATACCGTTCTTCAAATGCAACTCGAATTCCCAACACATATTAGATGAAAATTCAAGGGAGACCTTGGTCCCAAAGTTAATTTTTCGAAGCTTACTTTAACCGAAGTCAACAGATCTTATCCACATATCTTTGAAATTGACCCATGATTATGCATCTCAAGGTCTCATAAGAGCTTGTAAGCTCATCAACCAGGTATTCCATGTTGAACAAACCCTGCCTTGAATGCCTTGAACCTTGCATGAATTATTCTATGAGAAACCTACTTCAATCCAAACCTACTCGCATCGCAGATAACAAATGACAATGATGAGGACAATGATGGCCTTGGTTAAGGAGAAATCTATGAATTCATATCTTAGGTCATGAACCACGCTTCACAATTCAATCCTCAGCCCTTAGCGATCGGTTATTTCAACTTGAGATTAGTGTCATAAGGAACACCTTACAGATGGATGATAAAGTCTGAATCACAGAAGATATCCCTTGATGTGAAACCCTCATAATCTTGATTCCTCGTTTAGACGCACAGAGAAATATCCGGATAAAACATCTTTGAACCATGATTCAACAAAACCTAATTTGATTAACTGAGGAGTAGATGATTGTCATATCACAGTCATTAATCCTAATCAAATGACAAGCATACTTATAGGAAAGGACGTCATGATTCGAAGCCCACATATGCTAGGTCACGTCCTAGAGTTCTTGACTAGAATGACCTACAATCGGTTGTTTATCAAAAGATAATAGCCTTGCTGCTTGAGGGAGAAGAAGTCCTTTATTGGATATGAGTGCCTTAACCACTATGAAACCCTAGTATCGCACAACCACTGAACTTTGAACCTCAGAGCTATATTGAATGAAATGTATGCCATGTTAGTGACCTAATGAAAAAGATGCAAATGAATGCAAAAGTCTAAGCCAACAAAAAAGGAAATTCGGAGGGCAAATTTTGGGGTGCAACAGCTGCCCCTATTTAATCGCCTTCAACCTGAAGGTGAGATTGGCGTCCGCCTTTCGAACTTTCAGGGTGGAGGAAGATTAAATACTAAAAGAACCCGAAAATTTGCGCTCCGGAGTCAGTCATGTATTATTATATCTTTGGTTTTTCTGTATCTTTTGTATTATATATTTTTTTTTGGTAAAAAGGATTATCATGGTTAGATGTATGTTTAACCAGAGTTTGATACACAGCAGAATAACTTGGTTATCAAGGAACAACTGTTGGGATTTAATAACACACCTGTAAGAAAGATATCAAAAGATATATGCCTGAAGTCTGTAGCAGACATACGAAAAGAAGTATCAGAGACACATATCCGGGGTTGGTAGCGGATATACAAGAAAGAGACATCAAAAATACATATCCGTGGTCGGTATCGGACACGTAAGAAAGAGATAGAAAAGATACGTATCCGTGGTCGGTATCAGATACGTACGAAAGAGACATCAAAGATACATATCCGTGGTCGGTATCAGATATGCACAAAAGAGACATCAAAGATACATATCCGTGGTCGGTATCGGATACGCACAAAAGAGACAGACCGAAGAAAGCTCTTACAAAGATATCAAGAACACATGTCTGGGGTTGGTAGCAGACATATGAAGCAAGTATCGAAAATACATATCTGTGGTTGGTATCGGATACGCACAAAAGATATAGACAAGATACATATCCGTGGTCGGTATCGGATACGCACAAGAGAGATATCAAAGATACACATCCGTGGTCGTTATCAGATACGCACAAGAGAGATATCAAAGATACATATCCGTGGTCGGTATCGGATACGCACAAAAGAGATATCAAAGATACATATCCATGGTCGGTATCGGATACGCACAAAAGAGATATCAAAGATACATATCCGTGGTCGGTATCGGATACGTACGAAAGAGACAGACCGAAGAAAGCTCTTGCAAAGAAACACCAATCGAAGGCGGACTTACTGAGGAAGGAGACCAAACGAACGGGACTCCGGACAAATGATGTCAATCGAAGATGGATTTAAAAGAAATGACACCATCCGAAGCGGGATTTTGACAAAAGATACCAGGCGAAGCGGGGTTTTGAAAGATACAGGTATGCATGTCTGGTCAGAGTTAGATACACAAGAGCGAAGTTGATCATCAAGAAACAAATGTTTAGAATTGCTAGCGAACACAGGAACGAGACTAACCGAAGAAAGCCCCAATAAAAAGGGCGCATTCGCCTAAATAAGGATGCTAGACAACTAGACTTTGAAGAGACACTGAAAGACTCTTAATCATAAAAGATTAGCTAGGATAACGAAAGGAGGACCCGACTAACATGGATAAACCAAAACAAGGAACCGACTAAGCAGGACCTTCAAAGAGCACCGATCGAATGTGAACTCTGCAAGAGAAAGGGACTGGTCCAAGCAGACTCTAACAAAGAAAAACATGTTAGGCTTTCGATAGGTTGCAAATATGCAAGAACTAACAAAAAAAAATCCCTCAGGCCAAAGGCGGGGTGTAATTCTTCAAGAGTGGCAATCATCTGAACTACCACACACCAAGTATGGACACTCAAATACTTGAGAAATAAGAAAGGCTATACGCCGACTCTTACTTGCACTCTAACGGCAAAGCGAACACGGGTAAAATAACCAAAAGCTTGAAAGGGCAAGTGTAAACCACGATTTACTAGGGAATCCCATATGTATTGAACTTAAACAGAACGCCGGTCGAAGGCGGTCTTGTGATCAGAAAGAAAAAAAGACCAACTGTAGGGACTCTAAACAAGGATTGCCAACATGCGTTGGGCTTTAAAAGTTTTGCAAATACGCAAGAACTACAGAATCCCTCAGACCAAAGGCGGGGTGTAATTCTTCAAGAGTGGCAATCATCTGAACTACCACACACCAAGTATGGACACTCAAATACTTGAGAAATAAGAAAGGCTATACGCCGACTCTTACTTGCACTCTAACGGCAAAGCAAACACGAGTAAAATAACAAAAGGCTTGCAAAGGCAAGCGCAAACCACAAACTTACTGGGGAGATGGAGGAATACCAAAGACCCGACTGATGGTGAATCAAAACAAACCCCGCTGGGGAAACATAATAGAGTCACCATTAGGCTTGTTGTGGAGATAAATCAAATCTGAGCGCATAACAATCTGGTTACCACAAGTGGACATAATTGGCTTATACTTATGCATGTTTAATTTTTTTTTATAGCGTAATGCTCCATACAATAGAAATGCTACGCGTTTTAGTAGATGCGATGTAATGATGCAATATAATGATGTATGTTTAGTAATGCACTGGGGAGACCACGTCAATAATCGGATGTTGGGAAGACAATGAACTTTCAAATGATTATTCTTGCACATCTAATCTTCTGTAGAGAACGCGCAATATGAACTTCAGTAGGAAATCGAGATTCGAAACCATCAACCTCGAACGATTAACAACATTGAAGAAATAACTTCCTGGGTAGTAATACTGCAAAAAATAAATTGCAGTTTGAGAGAAAATCTTGAATTCTGATCAAACTTCCAAATTCCTGGGGGATAGATACTTTATCTTCTGTTAGAACGGGGAGAGCTTCGCTGGGGATGGAAGCTTTCTCTTGCGCAGAACTTCTTTACGAAGATAGCTTCTACTGGGGAGTATAGAAATTCTTAAAATAAATAGGATTCTACTCAGACCATACTGGGGATAACAACGCCGGGGGATAAAAATCTTCACTTGGGGAAGAACCAAACATCCTAGGACAGAAACTCCACCGCTGACACCTCAACAAAATCTTTCATATTCCGGGATGAAGGAGTTAAAATTGGTGCTCCCATGTGCACCATACTGGGGAGAAGATGAAACTTGTTCTAGAAAGCATGCTCTATTAGGGAATGAAAACTCGCTTCACTGGGGAAAATACTGCAAAAATAAATTACAGTTCAGGGAAATTTTCGAACTCTGATCCAACTCCCAACTTCTTAGGGAAAACTCCAACATCTCTTTCCAAGGATAGAGAGAATCTTGCTGGGAATTGGGACCTTCCGATGTAAGTCTTCGATAGAAGTGACTTTGATTGGGGAATCGCAAAAAATTTTCGTTGTTTTTATTTTCAATAAAATAATTCT